TTCAGGAAGCACTTTTGGTCAGTCTTGATAAAGCTGTTTTAATCACTCTTAAAGAGAAGATTTATAAGGCATTCCCATACATTCCAAAGCAGCTCTTTAAAAAATGTGCATACCTATCACACAGCTTCTTTACAACTGACCCAGGTTTGTATAATTTGGGATTCCAAGGAAGAAATGGCAAGAAATTCCTTTCTACTGATGCCAGTATGAGCAGCATAAGACACAACAGCCATGTTATTAAAATAGTACGAACATGACGGCAACCTGGATTAGGATTGCACACTGAATTTCTAACTTTGTCACCTAGTGTGTGTGTGTGTGTATGTGTGCACACATGCATGGTTATATGTTCCAACATAACTCTGGAATGCCTAGAGCAATTTCAAGGAAACTTGGTACAAAGATGACTTACTCTCTGGAAACAAATACTGTGGGGATAAGACACCCCTAACACCCCTCAGGGTGTATGTTCTGTTAAAATACAGCCTGTTGTGGCTTAAAATGACTTCTACTGTACTGCTGTAAAATGGCTTCTACTGTACTGCTGTAAAATGGCTTCTACTGTACTGATGTAAAATGGCTTCTACTGTACAGCGCAGTGGAATTGCCATGGTAATGGTTTCACAGTACTCCACAAGGAGGCTTCCTCTGGTAAGGGGGAAAATCCAACATTGGAAATTACATTTGGTCTGGACATTTTCAACAACATCAGGGCTTTTCCTGTCTAATACAGAATCAGGATAAAGAAATACCCAGGCAATGCCGGGTTATCAGCTGGTAGGATAAATAAATAAATAAGTACCTATGGTCCACCTGAACAATTTTTGATACAGGAGATTTCTTCAGAAGTAGTGATGCATTTTCTTGAAAGAAGCCTCCAGGTATCTACTACATGCTAGGATAAACCTGAACTTATTTTGGTCTTGGTGTTTACTGACCTGCATAACACTGGAAGCAAGGATTTACTTCTGACATTTTTTGATCGCTAAAGGGCTTTCAGAGTTTGTGAAAACTACCGTCCCCACTTTATGTAGTCTTCAAAAGATGACTGATTTTTTAGTTTATTATATTTTGCTTTTTTTTTTAAACCTCTGCCGAAATGTTATGTTCACTGTGTAAATATATCTTAAGCGAAGCTAGGAGCACTAGCTTGTCACTCACAGTAAATTAGAGTGGCAGTTCTTACTGTGATTGGATGCTTAGCAACTAAAACTTGGTAGACTTCTTTAGTTATATCCGAAAGAAATATAAGCCAAGGTGTTCTCATATATAATAATTTATTCATTTGACAAAGGATAGCACTTATTAAAGATCCTAATCATCTAATTTGTGTATCTAGATATTTATCTGATCCAAATTGCTGAATAATATTGAGCATGCTGCAGAAAGGAAAAAAACAAATAAATTCATTAATGGACACCAAGGGTCTCTCAAAATACTGTAGCAGTTTATCAGCACGTAAATAGATGGGATCTGTTTCAAGACAGAACATATTTATATTTTTGTAACAAATATGGAAAGTTATTTCTTACAAAGGATGTCTTCTAACATTATTACCTATGGCAGATCATATATATGAGGAAATGCAAGATTATAAAAAATTCATAGAACATACAATTAACAAATTATGAAGTCTAATTTTCACTCAGACTTTGTTAATGCAATTTTTAAAAGCTAGCAGATGGTTTGCGCATTAGCCCACAATAAATTATAACACTTATAAAGACAGTTATGTACCAGGAATTGCAAAGAATCCAGGCTACAGATGACCCTTCTGATTTTTAATAATCTGTGTAATTGATGTACAGGCAAAAAAAAAAATACACAGATGTCTAATGTGGTTTCTTGACGGAGCACAAATCACTTCTATTTACTCAGGCAATGCTTCATGGTCCAGTTCATTTCTTAATTAAAGACATCAAGATGCACACAAATGGCATTGAAAAGAATGTTTAGTGTGGTAGATGTTCAGATGGGGGTTTTAGATACTTTGCTTGCTTCTCTCAACCCTGACTCATTTATCATTTCCCTTTAAAACATGACTAAAACACATTTAAACCTCGTGTAATGAAAGACATCATGGCTTCTCCTTAATTTGTTTTTATTACTTCCTTAGAATATTAAACTATGTTATCAAATATTGGAAGTTATACATCAAGGATTTTTGTAAAAAGAACCAGTGGGATTATGGTTAGGTATTGGTTATCTGAAAAGTATGGAATAATATAAATAATATAAATATGATAATCCTTCAATATATATTTGGAAAGCTAACATTTACCCTGGATATGGTTTAACGTGGACAATTCCATCGACAAATTGCCTTAGTTTGGCCTTCTGAGCAAACAGCTTTGTTATATTTTTTTAAAAGATGGGTGCCATATCTTTGTAGCATTTTGTTTCCTGATAAAAAGATTGATTCTAAAGAAGGAGGAACAAACAAATAATCCTTATTTTCTGTCCTTGAAATAATTTCCTAATAATTTTTCAGGATATTCTGAGCAGACATTGTCCATCTCCCTCAGTTAACAAGAACCAAGAAAACCCATGTATAATGTTTCTCAAATAAGAAGATATATTAAAACATATATGATAAATTAAATAGTAAATGTTATGCACACTAATCAGTTCCTTTGAGTTGGTCTTAACATCAAACTACTTGTCTTAAGCACAACTTGAGATATTGACATGAAAGCCTTTCAAATCCAAAATATTTGAGCTCAAAATGCCACATTTCTGATTTTCTGGAAATGGGTGTATATGTGTGAGGGATAATAATGCATTTCCAAATATTTTTTCCGTGGAACTCTGCAGCTTCATATTTAGGAGGAATGTTGGTGGCTTGTGAGAAGCAGAGTCAAATCAAAATCCTGAAAGTTGTACAAAACAACAAAATTGCCTTTTGAGGAACGAGAAAGCAGAATTTCTCAGGAAACTGCAACTAATTTCCAACAAGATGCATGGCACAAAATATTTAGAAGAGATTTTTTTAAAAAGAAGATTCTCACTTCTTAAGATCTGATGAACTATGACCAAAAAGAAGCATAAAGCATATGAAATTCCTCAACCTGATTTTTATCTCTCTCTCTAGATGTTAGCCAACACAGGACCTTTAGGATAACATTTATTATTAGAGACAAAAGACAAATTAAGGAATTATATCCCTTGCTTGTGAATCTGCCACAGCATGTAACTGGCACTGTAGAAGGGGAGTACTGGACTTGTGGAAACTGGTGAAAACCAAGAAGGCTGTTCTATTTGTTAATGAATAATGTTGCACATTCTTCCTTCTCCTGTTGAGAATTCAGTAAAGGCTTCCTAAAACACAGCTAGACTGTATATTCAAATGAAGCCGCTTTAAGCCATTGGCTATCAAGATAGAGCATGATGTTCATACCTATAGTAGTTTAAAACTGGTGTTTTTTTCATGTTAACATACATCCTATTTGGCTTCTGGACTTTGGGGCAAAGGCCCAGTGGACTTTAAGCACAGAATGGGTCAACTTGCTGCAAGACAACTTGCCATGGTCAATTTGCCACAGGCAACTCACCAAGGTCACCTCACTGCAGGACAACTCACTGCGGGGCAATTCAACAATTTAATTATTTAAAATAGTTTTAAAATATTTTAATTTTTGTCATTCACATTTTATTTTCTCTCTCCTTTGACATCCTTTCTTTAATGATTCTATTCCTCTGTTTCTTCAATATTAGTGTAACTCTTGTCCTGTGGCAAGTTGTGCAGTGGTGAGTTGCCCATGGTGAATTGTCCCGTGGTCAATTGGCTGCAGTGAGTTGAATATGGCGAGTGGGCTGTGGTGAGTTGGCTGTGGCAAATTGTCATAGATGCCTATTGGCATAATCAACATTTCTGTTACAAAAAATCCATCTCTTTAATTGCAGAGGCAATAACAACCGGCATAACTTCCTGTCTTTACAGCAGTGGACTTGATGTTTAGTTCACATTGACTATAAGCTAGTTGTCCTGCGATTGATCCACTTTTTCAGTTAACAGAGGAAGAAAGATTGTTTCAACAAGCTAGCTGTTCATAAGCTGCTTTCCTGAGCAGTGTGCTGCTCGCTTACCAAGCAGGAACTGTGAACTAACAAGCTCCTCTTTCTGACCTTAATCGGTTGATATATATTTTCCTTCTCCTCCCATGGGGTTCATGCCTCACTGCCAAATGTCATTATAAGGGAAATTGCTTGTGCTACTGTGTACATTTCTATTGGCTTTTCCTATTGTTCACCTAAATGTCCTTTTCTTCTTCTTTAGAAGCTGAGTAATAGAACATCCAATTTCAGAATTTTTGAGATTGAACAGAATTTAACCGAATAACAGGGTTGGAAGGGAGGTCTTCTAGTCTAATGCCCTGCAGGAAAACCTGTACCATCTCTGACAAATGACCGGCAAATCTCTTTTTAAAAACCTCCATGTTGGAGCACCTACACCTTTTGGAGGCAAGTCCCATTTTATTGATTAATTGTTCTAACCGCCAGGAAATTTCTCCTTAGTTCTAGGTTTCCTTCTGGTTACTCTTCCCTAGACCAGAACAGTCTAAGGGATGGAAGGAAGAGTGGAGAAGTTCTAAGATCTGACCCTAAAGGCAACTCTTTTGTAAGAACTGGTAGATGCCATGACATTTCCTGCTTGCCGATTTGACTCATGGTGAGTAATCTATGACAGGGGTTTCCAACCTTGGCAATTTTAAGACTTGTGAACTTCAACTCCCAGAACTCTGGGAGTTGAAGTCCACAAGTCCTAAAATTGCCAAGGCTGGAGAACCATGATTTATGATGCTATAAGTACTGCATTTTCATTAATAAACCCCAGTTAGCTGTGATTATACTGACAACTTTCCTTGTTTTTTCGAAATCCAACCTGCAAATTCTAAATTTGCAGGTTGGATTTCAAAACCGCAACTGCACTAGTCATGATGTAGTAGTGGCATATTTTCAGTCCTATAAAGAAATAAGCATTTTCAGAAGTTTTGACTTACTGTCCTGGACCGGATTTCTTTGGCGTAGAGAGGTTTCAAGAATTCCGAATCTCCTTCTAGCTTTAAACCTTTTTCTGTAATTCTTAGATTTCCCATTCCATCCTGAAATATAGAAAGGAGTCCCATTACTATGATTTTATAAAATCGAGATTGCGAAAAGAAAAAACACAAAATCTTAAGAGGAAAAAACCACATAAGCTTTGCTATTCAATCATTCTTTTGGCATAGGTTTTGTAAGAAAATTGTGTTTCAAACAAGCTAAAATAAGACATTTATTCAGGTGAACTATGTCATCTGGGAGAGAAGCTATAAAAATGAAGCATTCTGCACACTGACTGACCCTCTATCTGTCTGCATAACTCACTTTTTTTGTTTATTAATAACCTCACTTCGCCCAAACAACCTTACAAATATCCTATATAGTTAAATATGCTTATCAGAATTCTACAGTAAAAAAACAAATAAAAATAATGTTCAAGTGCCGAAAAGCAATTTACCAGAATGAATGCTTTTATACCCTCCCCCTTAATCTGTAGCTTTTTGTTTTACTTTCTAAAATTTAGCACAGGGCTGAGCATCATTCTTTTGGCTACATCTTCTTAGAAATCTATAGATGACCACATGTAAATGAATGCTAAGGCTATTATTGCTTTTTCTTTTGCATCCTTCTTCTTTTATCTCCTTTCACATGAACTAGATTAGAATTAATTTTTGTTGACAAAGATTTGAACTGATAGTCTACAGAAAGTTTTTAAGTTAGGCTGAGGACTAATCCTTTCTCTAGCCATTAAATTTGATAGTGAAGCAGATTATCAAGAAACTTATTGTCTGCAATACCAAGCACTAGTTAAAAAGATTCTTATGGTTTAACTGGTGGATCCTACTCCCTTGAAATTCTGTTTCTAATGATCCTGCCAACAACTCTAGTATCCAGAAGTTTTGAAATAAAGTGCATGGATAGTTATTTGCACACATAGGCCAATGCATATTAGACCTCTGCTTTGTGAACTGCATTACTTGTCATTCTGAGTCTGGATCCAATTCAATGTGCTGGTTTGTGACATGGAACTGGGCTATTTGAGGAACTGCTTTTTCCTGTTTATATCAGCTTGGACCATCAGATCTCGCACAAAAGGCATGCTGCAGTTATCTTTGGCTAGGAAACAACATTTGCTGGGTTCCAGGAGATGTGTTCTCTCTGTTCTAGAACCCACTTTATGGAATATTCTTCTCCCCGAAATTAGATTTGTTCCATAGCATTCAATATTCTGATATATGTCCAGTCCTGGGTCTCCCATGGAACTGGGCGCTAATCTAGAATGCTCCATTGTTGAAGGAGCCATTTTTATTACTTCAAGTATGGGATTTCCAGTTTTTTTTAGGATATTTATTATGACGATCTTTTAGATTTGTATTTGCTATTTTTAGCTTCATAGTTTTTAATCTATTGTTGTGCACTTCCAAAAGTCACCTTGGGTGAGATGGATGGCTATATCTATTTCATAAACAAACAAACAAACAAACAAACAAACAAACAAACAAAGCTGACAGGCAGGACCAAAACAGTAAGAAATAGTATTGCTTCTCCTTCAATTTAATTGTTTGGGTATGATTTAAAGGTTCTTGGTGTTGGAAAGAGTGGTGAGGTATCAGGGGATCCTGGTCAATCTTTTCTTTGGTTGCAGATGGCTATAAAATATATGGAATTACAACCATTCAAAGAATAAGGATTTGATATATGAAATCAGATGTTAATTACAAAGTTATAGGGATTACTAACGAAGAACCATAAAACTAACTCTGAATTATAAATTAAATGATCATATTTGTATTTGCTATGGAAATGATTTATTCATATCCCACCTTTACTATTTTTTATAAATAATTCAAGGCAGTAGACATACATAATATTCCTTCTTCCTCCTATTTTCCCCAGAAAAACAACCCTGTGAGGTGAATTGGGCTGAGAATGTGTATTAAAATTAGAAAGACCAAGATTTGGTAACACAATATAAAAATAAATAAAACAGAAAAACAAACGAAAATAGAGTACAGAAGGCAGACAAAACTATCTAGGCTATATACTTATCTTCTCAGAGACTTTATGACATAAGAAATTTAGTGTGAATTCATTAGGCTATATGAAGTTAGCATTTAAGATACAAAATAATATCAACATTACAGCCACAACACTGTATAACTTTAACATTAAGGTTTAATTGTACAAATGGTATTTACTGACATTATTGACTATTAAGACTATCAGAGCAATATTTTATAGCAGAATATGAATAAAATAAAACACTTAAAGTAGTTAGCCAAACAGTGTAGAATATTTGATATAATAAAATAAGCATTTACATTTGCTACCATAAAACTGTATATAATATTTAATGTATTTAATGTGATCCAAGATCAAACATGTGGAACACAAAAAGAAAGATCAATGCACACAAATAGAAAATACTGAAATAGGAAAAGAAAAACTCAGGGTTGGTATATAGAAATATATCCAAGGTAATGGAAAAGCTTTTTCTCCTAACATTAAAGAGTCTGATCAGTACACCGCACTAGAACAACCAAAGGTATTTTAACTCCAAGCATGCTTACAGTATAGTGCACAAGCTAGGATTGCTGAAAGCTAACTTTCAAGACAATGTTATTGGTCTACTCTTCTTCTCCTCCTGTTCTTAGCAACTTTATGGTGCTGACTGGGGAATTCTTGGAGTTGAAATCCCTGCATCTTAAAGTCACTAAGACTGAGAAATACTGATATAGGGAAGGCATTCAATGCAATTCCACACAGTTTAGATCAGTGGCCCCAACCTTTTGGGCACCAGGGACTGGTTCCTTGGACAGAGGTTTTTCTGTGGACTGAAGGGGGTGTGATTTTGAATGCTCCCTGCATTCCATGGATGGAGCTTCACTGGTTTGCATGGCCCAGTTTCTGGCATGCAACAGCCTAGAACCAGTCCACCAACCAGGGGTTGGGGATCCCTGGTCTAGATCAGTGATGGCTAACCTTTTTCCCATCGTGTGCCAAAAGTGGGGGAGTGCAGGGGAGTTGTGCATGGATGTGCCCACACCCATAATTCTATGTGAATGACCCCCGCATTTGCACACATGACCCCTGCCCCCGCGCCCACTGTTGGCATGTGATGGATCCATTTTTTGCCCTTCCCAGGCTCCAGAGGCTTTCTAGGAGCCTGGAGAGGGTGAAAAAAGTCTCCCCTGCCTCCCTTGGAGGCCCTCTGGAGTCTTCAGGAGGTTTCCCTGGAGCCTCCTTAGGGCAAAAAATGGCCCTATAGGCAACCTGGAAGTTCAGGAAAGAACTTCTGGTTTGCCCATAGGGGTGTTTTTCACCCTCTGAAGCATTCAGGAGGTTTCCCTGAAGTCTCTGGAGGGCGAAAAATGGTCCTAAAGGCAATCCAGAACCAGTTTGCCCATAGGGCCATTTTTCGCCCTCCAGAGGTTTCAGGGAAGCCTCCTGAAGAAGAAAAACAGCACAAAACAGAAACTGGAAGTCAATTCCTGAACTTTCGGTTTGCACATTGGGTTGTTTTTCGCCCTCTGGAGCCTTTATGGAAGCCTCCAGAGGGTGAAAAATGGCTGAAAATGAAGGGCGAAGTCAGCTGCCCAGCACGTGCATGTGCACTGGAGCTGACAGGGCAATGCTTTGGCTATATTATGGAAAATGCAGAATTTTACTGAGCAAGGGGCATATTTATAGGATGCATAAAAAGGATGTTTTTTTCACATAGAGGTGAAAATGCTTGCCTATTCAATAAAGGAATAATATGGGTTTAAGGAAATTTTTGTAGATCCATAATTCTTCAAGTTTTTTCCCCAAAAACAAATCAAGTGTTGTTTGCTATCTGAGATCAAAAAGAGAAAGAGATAAGAGAAGTTCATGAATCATGTTGGCTTTTACCACTTCCATTATATCTTGTTACTTACTCACATGTCATCTATCCTAAGGTTCTGTACTCTAAATTTATGTACAGATCAGGGGTGGGTTTCTGCCAGTTCTAACCTCTTCTATAGAAGAGTTTCCACAAATCTACAGTGCTATTTAGAACCGGTTCCAGCTCCCTCCCCCCTCCCGTCAGCACATCATCAAAATGAAGAACGAGAGGAGGAATTCTGGGAATTGAAGTCCACAAGTCTTAAAGCTGTCAAGTTTGAACACCCCTGGGATTTTTTTTCTAAAGGGTTAGGGGTGCAAGGGTCTTGTAACTTGACAACTTTAAGACTTGCGTGCTTCAATGCCAGAGTTCCTGAGCCAACATTTTGGTTGCTAAGCAAGAGAGTTGTTAAGTGAGTTTCACTACATTTTACAAGTTTGTCACGGCCACCCAGTCAAATGGCTGGCAAGCCACTCCCACAAAGCAGGCCACACCTACAGAAGAGGTTCTAAATTTTTTTTGAAATCCACCACTGGTACAGATGGACAATCTACAACCATGGATTGCATATAGCCTCTAATGACCCATTTAGATTCATTTTCCCTTTGCACATTTTATCTTTTCATGATTATAGAAGGAATATGACCCAGCAGTATAATATAGCAAACAAGTTAAATAAAATTTAAATCACATCAAGAGAAGCATAATTTCCATATTATTATTAGTGTTGTTCTTTATATTTAGATTTATTATATAGTTAGTCCTCACATTTGCCTCATGATAACAGAAGCTTTTGTTCTTGCTTCATAAATATTGGTTTTGTATTCCCAGTGATCAGATCTTAAATTACTAATATATTTTGTCTCTTTCTTTTTAATTGAAACCAGGGTTTGAGATGCAGGAGAGAGAGAAAAAATGTTAATTTTAGGATTTTCAGAGATACACGGTCAGTAGGTAAATAGGAGGCAGCTTTTGGTAAGACAGGCGGATCTCTTAAGCTTACAGATGAATTATCCCAGCCTTGAAGTTTATGCAAAGAGGGGGAGAATTGTGTGAAGAACAGAAAGCTAGACTGGGAGGAGGAAGAGAAAGAGGTTGTTACAAAACTTATATAAAAATCCTGAATGTCAGTGTGACAAGGGAGAAAAGAAAGCAAGGGAAATCAAAAGAAAATGCATTTAGAACAATAGGGTAGAG